TCTCTTTCAAGAGCGATTGCTTTGCATCCGGCTCTGGGACACGGCGTTCCCAGCAGGCAACCAAGCAACGGCAGGGCAGAGGCCAGGCTCCTGTGTGGGGCCTGGGGCCTGGGGCCTGGGGCGTGCAGACCTGCCGGGCCGGGGGGCTGGAGCCTGGGGCGCAGGGGGCTAGAGCCTGGGGCGCGGGGGCTGGAGCCCGGCCAGGTTCTACCTTGACGACTTCCGCGAAGCCCCCTCACAGGGCCGCCCTGAGAAGCAGGATGGAAGCTGGGAGCTGGGAGTAGCTTCCTCTCCTGAGTCCCCGGCCTGCCCTGCTAGGCACCTGCCCACCTCAGCCACAGGGCCCAGGAGGCCTCCTGGGGGTACAGACAGGGCACATGTGCAGGCCAACATTCCTACGCCTTTCTAGAATTGTCAACATGGGGCCTCGCCACCTCGGCCACTATGCAAATAACTGCAGAATCCTCAAGCTGGAGGACACGCAGCGAGGGCCGGCTTCCCACCAGAGACCACCCAGTGGCAGGAACGTTAATTCGGGAGCCCCGAACCTGCGTGTGTGTCCCACGTCTGCTGCTGGCCGCCTCGGCCCCGGACTGGCCGCCGTGGCCTCGGACTGGCCGCCCACCGCCCCCTGCTCTGCCTCAAACTTCTCGTCTGCCGAGTCTCGCTCTGCTATCCCAGGGACCCCACCTCTGGGCTCTGCAGGGATGGGGGACTCACTTCCTGATGCGACCCTGCCCTCCGTGGTCAGGCACGGTCAAGTACAAGGTCCTTCCACACATGGAGGTGTCGGCTTCCCTATGACCATCCCTCCCCCGCCCCCCCCGACACACACAAACACCTGGGTTGAGTTCGGGCTCCTGGGGCCCACCCCTCTCCCACAGGAAGTGATCCAGGGTTGGCGGCCCTTCCCCCACCCGTACGCTCTGCCCCGTGGGAAACCACAGCCCACGCGTGGCCGCCGCCAGGCCCAGCACACGTACCCAGCACGTCGGCGGACTTCTTACGCTCCACGATCTGGATGTCCCGGGCGCCAGCTGGGATGTGGGTCACCAGAGAGTAACCTGGGGAGATTGGACAATGGGGAGCAGCAGTTCCAGCTGTAGCCGCCGCCTCTCAATCGGAAAGACAGCCCTGGATGGCGGCCACCACTTTGCCGCGTCCCCAGTGGGTGAGGGGTGCTGTCTGGCTGCACCCAGGCCCCGGAGGCAAGTCCGAGGCCCTGCCGAAACGCCCCGTGCCGTCACAGGGCTGACCGCCACCCAGGCACGGGCCCAGGTTTGCCCAGGCTCCCTGGCCCTTTCCTACAAGGCCGTGGGTAACACTCGTCATACTCCCGAGGGACACTGCAGGCCTCCGAGCCTTCAATGTGCTGGAGTCAGACAGGCCTGGGACGTGCTCCAGGCATCACCAAGTCGAGCCGAGCGCGGCCGCAGCCTGGGCCTGTCTCCTCATCCGCACAGAGGGACGCCGGCTCCCGCCCCAGGCACGTAAGGAGATTCTGCCCGGCACAGAGCCTGGCCCCAAGGTCCCTGTCACTATTAGTATTTTTAAAACCCATGTTGTCCCAATATTGTGTTGATTTCAGAGCTTTCTGCATTCAAAGATGTAGACGAGGAAGGACAAAGCGTGGCCAAGGTCATCATCAAGTCCCCAGAAAGGTGGGCAGGCAGCCAAGAGACCGGCACGGGGACCCCGAGCCAGGGACCAGGGGCTGCAGGGAGCGGCTCTGAGGACGGACGCGGAGGGCGCGCTGGGGAGGAGGCGGAGGGATGTTTTTCTGTAAAGTCCTAAGATGAGAAGCCTGGTGGGGCAGGGCCGACTCAGGGGTCAGGCTGGCTGGGCTGAGCTCGCGCCCCGGCTCCCACCGAGCAGTGTGAGCGCCCAGGCACAGCTGTCCACCCCGGGGGGGCTGCTCCCGCAGCCGCACCACGCCCCACCTCCCCGCTGCCCTGCCACCGTTACAGGTCACTGACGACTGCGGGCTCATCCCTCCCCACCAGACGCCCTGCGAAATAGTTGACGACCGGCCTTCTTGGAGGGAGAGTGAGGAGCTCTGAGCTGTCATGCCAGCCAATTCCCGTGGGGTCAACACTGCCACTGTGACCGATTCGAGGCTCCCAACACCACGTCACGGGGTACGGAGTTGAAAAGAGGTGCACGGTAGCTCACCTGCTGCTGCAGCATTTACGTAGGGGACCCGATTAGCGGATGGTGAGTGCTGTCTATTTAACTGCAGGTTCGCACGCGTCGGCTGCTAACTCAGCGGCAAGCTCACGAGATCCCTGAGCATCGGCTAACCGGCTCTGCCACCGTGCGGGGCTCTCCCCGCGGCGAGCACGCACACACTCATCAGGGGAGGGGGCGGGTGGGCGGTGGGCACCACTGGGTTCAGACCCAGCTCTGCCACCTCTGGCTGTGTGACCTGAGACTAGCTTCCTAACCTCTCCGTTATCGTGTCTGCAAAATGGGAGCAGTGGCCGGCAGAGACGTCGTGAGCTCCGGATGGGTTAACTCGCGCCAGACCTGGCCCGGTGCACAGCGAGCGCCGGTGGAGTGAGTTGGGGTGTTTAGGTGTCAGCCCCAGCCCCCCCACCCCCCACCAAGAGTTCTGTGAGGGAGTGAGCCTTGGCTCTCCAGGGCCTTCCCGCAGCCCACAGTGTCTGGCACACAGTAGGTGCTCATGGCACACAGTAGGTGCTCAGGAAGAGACGCACCACCTGAACGCTGGCCCCGCCGTCCGTGTACCCCACGTCCGGCAGGAGGACCCATGAGCGGTTTGTGAAGGGAAGGGGGCTTGCGAGGTGGCCTTCCTCGCCTCCCGCAGCGAGGCCTCCGAAGGACGTGGCCTCTGCCCACCGTGCTCACCACGCGCTGCTCGGCCCCGTCCAGTGGCTCTGCCCTGGCCCTCCACTAAGGTCACCGCATCCTCTCCAGACGCCGTCCCTCGGCCCTGGCTCCCGCATCTGAGACTAACACGAACTCTGAAGTCCACCCTCATGTGGCGGCCAAGGCCGTTTGCTCCACCCTAGGACACGGCCAGAGTCCCAACAGCCAGGGCCACGAAAGTGGGTTTCAAGCCGCACCCCCTTCCCTGATCCAATAACCCAGTTTAATCCCACAAGCATTTACCAAGACCCAGGAATGTATTCGGTTCGATGCTGAGTGTTGTAAGTGACATCTTTCCAAAAGGACAAAGTCCTGTCACAGACTCAGAGCCCTGCCCATCCCCAGCTCCCACAGGGCCGGGCCAGAGCTGAATGCCACGCCAACATGAGGCCAAATGGATGCAGCTGGAACATGGACACGCTGCTGCCCAGGGAAGGGGGGGCCGGCCCGGAGCCTCCGCACCCCGAAACGTGGACTCCGCAGAACACGCGAGTGCCCGGGCTCAGCCCTCCCATCTACGGTGAGGACGGGACTCGGGCCTCAGTCTCCCTCAGTAAGCGTGGCATCTCCCCGCGCAGCGGCAAAGGTCAGACGTGGCCCCTAAGCCAAGCGTGCACTAGCCGCCGGCTTTCGGGTCCATACAGAGCCGCTCACTATTCCTAGCCAAAGGGGGCCTCGCGGAGCACCTGGCCGGCCCACCTGGGTCTGGGGTATGGGGTACCCTCGAGGGGCAGGGGCTGGCACAGCAGCCCTCGGCAGGCCGGAGACGGGGTCGCCCCCGGGGCCGCACGCAGGCGTGGGCGCTGACCAAGGTGGGCGCTGACCGAGGTGGGCGCGTACCGAGGTGGGCGCTGACCGAGGTGGGCGCTGACCGAGGTGGGCGCTTACCCAGGTGGGTGTTCCCTTTGCGGTAGTTGCCCGTCACGTGGGTGCAGCTGCTCCCGTCGCCCTGGCAGACGCCACACTTGTCCAGCGTGTGGGTGGAGAACAGGACACCGTCACAGCCGATGGGCTGCAGGGAGGGAGGCGGAGGGGGCCGCTGGGAGGGCGCCGCGGCTGCCACCGCCACGGGGCGCGGGCGGGCGGTCAGCGCGACGAGACCAGCGGCCATGTTTAACAACCTCACATTTTCCAGACACGCAAACCCCTCGCAGGTCACTGAGCTTGCAGGACGTGCCGTCGCGGGCGGGGACCATGAGCTGCCGCTGGCCGTCCGCCGTGGTGCAGTGCAGGTCGCAGGGCTTGCTGGAGATGTGCACGTAGTCATCTGGCCGGAGACAGCGGGTCTCAGGGCGGGGAGGGGGCCGGGTCAGGGGCTTGCCCTCCCTCGTCCCAAACAGCCCCAAACAGCCCTCTCCCGTAGCGCAGATGGGAAGCGGAGGCCTGGGCGTGGAAGGGACTCGCCCGGGGTCTGCTGGCAGGCGTGAGCCGAGACGCAGGGGCCGCGACCCAGCCCAGGCCCTGTGCGTTGTAGCCTCTGCCTCCCTGTGAGTGAGGGTGGGGGTTCCCCCCTGCAGGAGGTCTGAGCCAGTTGGTGGCCCTGGGCTGCTGGCCCCGCACTTAGCCCCTGAGGGCGAGAGGCCAGCTCATTTACACTGTTGCCCCAACTTCTCGTGACCTTCGACAAGACAGACCCCACCCCGGGCCTCGGTTTGCCCACCCACTGGACGAGGACACTCTCTCCCGGTGTCCCCAGGAGGGGACCCATGGGCCGTGGCCCCCAGGGCGTGGGCGGGTGGCCCGGCTCTGTTCCCGCTGGGTACCGGGGTACAGCGGCTTCCAGCGGTGTGTCCGCCCGTTGTACACCTGCGAGTTGAAGGAGATGCACTGCTCCTCGCGGAAGCTTCTCCCGTCCGGCGGACACTCCTGCGAAGGGACAGGCCGGCAGGCAGGCTCCAGGACGAACGCCGCCGACAAAGGCACTTTTTGTCCAGACCGGGCAGGCAATGGCCGCAGCCTGAGGGGTGGCCTGTCCGTCCCCTCTCTCAGCCTCCGTCTCCCGGGAGGGAGCGAGGACATCAGGACGGCAGCCGCCTGCCCCCAAACGCCCACACGCGCTGGCCGCCCTGGTGCCCTGGGCGGGACGCATCTAGCTCCCCACCACCTCGGCCTTCTCCCGGCCTGGGCGCTGCTCACGCTGACTCCCCTCCTGCCCCGCACCCTCTGCCAGACGCCCGTCTGCGGGTCCCCGGCCGTAGCCGTGGCGCCTGGACCTCAGCGCAGTGGCCGAGGTGGCCTTGGCTTCGCAGAGGAAGTGCCCACGGGCAGAGGGGACAGGCCTGGAGGCGGGGGCGGGGGGCACAGCTGGGCACACCGGGGCTGGAACTCGCACTTGGGTCTCCTTCCCGAGCTCACGGGGACCCAGGAAGCCAGCCGGCCTGGGTGCCACACGGAAGTTATGGCCGCTCGGGCCCCCTCAGCCTCTAACCCCCTGCACGTGTGGGTGCGCAGACGCACACACACCCGACAGCTCCACCTGTCTGCCCCACGCCCTGGTCCCACTGAGCGCTGCCCAGAGGCCAAGCCGGAGTCAGCACCCCCTGCCCAGCCCGGCCGCCCCAGTGCCAGCACACGGTCAAGGGCGAAGTCAGAGGCTGAGGACTCCTGAGCTGGGAGGTCAGTGCACGGGGCGCTGGCCTGGGCTGCGGTGCTTCCCGGGTGGGAACAAGACAGCTGGTGACTGTCCCTCCCACGGTGAGCTCCTGGTACAGGGCTTGTGAGCAACGCAGAGCTTCAGCCAGAGACCGGAACCCCAAGGCCAAGCGTCAAGCTCCGCCCACAGAAGTGAGTCCTCATCCCCACACGAGCCGGGAGCACCCAGTGGGTGTCACAGATCTGATCTGATGCAGGGAGGGCCCGCTGAGCCCAGGGCCCCTCACCTCCCTCCTCTTCCATAGGACGTTGGGGACAGGCCCAGGAAAGAATGTCGGAGAGCCCGGGGGCCACCGAGAAGACACCCCGCGACCTGCCTGAGGTCAGGCAGGGCCAGGCCCTGTCCCCGGCCAGGCGGGGCCTCACCTGCACTCTGCACAGCTGGTACCGCTTCGGTGTCCCCGTGCAGGTCCTGTTCCCAGAGCCCGTGACAGCCGTCCTCCTGGTGCGGGGCAGGACACGGGCTCTGAGCGAGCGCACGCACTGCCTGCTGCGGGCCCGACCCCGACCAGCTCGGGGACGGCCTCGCGCCCCGCCCCAGGGGCCGCAGGTCCCTCTAGCCAAGGGGTCCTTCCTCCCCACCCCACCTGCGGCGGCACCAGAGCCCTCCGCCTCTCTCAGGCCGCTGCAGGGAGGTTCTGTCCCTTCCCGGGGAGGGGCGATGTCTGATTCGCCTCCGCATCCCCATCACACGCACAGAACTCACAGCGGCAGACATTCGCTGCCTCCCAGCCCTGGGCTAAAGGTGCGCACACACTGTCCCACATGTCCTCGGGAGTGTCAGGTGGGCGTGAGCATGGTCTCCGCCCCACAGAGGAGACGGATGCTCAGAGGCTGTGTGACTGCCCCAAGGTCACACAGCTGGGACGTGGCAAGGCGAGATTTGACCCTGGGTCTGTCCGGCAACCGCTGACCCGCCATATGCCAGGGTGGGCCTTGCCCCTCATCGGTGGGGACTTGGGAATGGACCCTGCTTTCTCACAAACACCCTGTCCCCATGCCCTGAAGTGGGATGGACCCCAGGACCCCAAGGCCTGGGACCCAGCAGGAGCCACTTCCCCGACGGAGGCCAGTGAAAAGACGGTGGCTCGTCTGGCCTGTGCCGAAGACACCCCTCCCAGCCTGGGCCCCCCGCCCATCCCCCACAGCCCTGGCCAGGCTGCCCCACCCTCAGGCCAGGCCCTTGGCGCCCCGCGCTCGACTCCGCACCTCTGCTGCAGACAGTGCCGCTCCTGGGACGTCACCCCGGCCCCGCAGCTGCGGGAGCACGCCGTCCACTTGGTCCACTCCCCCCACCAGTAGGCGGTGGCGTCCACGCCGCCCTCCAGGCTGTTGGATGTGGGGCTGTTGTCCTAGGTGAGAGGCCCCACAGGTGGTCAGACGGGCGAGGCATCAGGCAAGACGCACCTGCCGTCCCCAGGCCCTGGACAGAACAGCCACCGGCCAGGCCACTCGGCTGTCTCAGGGGGTCTCCGAGGGGGACTCCCAGGGACTCGAGGGGACTCGAGGTCTGGAATGTCCTGGGGGTTCGGGCGGGTCCTGAGGAGACCCCTAACCGTTCTCGCTTCTTTTGCCCGAGCGGCCCAGGGCCTGGCATGGGTCCTGCGGGGCGCGAGTCCACCCTGTCGACGAGCCTCGCCCAGGACTTTGCTCTGAAGGGAGGCGTTCAGCCCCTCGGCCCCCATCCTGCCACCAGCAAGGGCTCTGGAGTGGCCAGAGGCCACAGCTCAGGGGCCAGGCTGACTAGCTTGTAACGCATGTGCCTGGCAGCGGAGGGGGACTCTGGGAAAGCTCCCTGGACCCCCAGACATGTGCCCCACACCTGCCACACAGCCCGCCGACATCAGCCCGTCTGGGTGAGGGACCACGCTCCCCACTCACCGTGGCCCCGATGGATGCCGCACCCCCAGCCACCAGAGCCGTGGCCAGCAGGGACCAGGCCCAGCATGAAGGCTGCCGTCTGCAGTCCATCCTAGGAAGCAAGGCCACTGTCACTGCCAGACCAGGCCCAGCTCCTGCCAACTGACCAGGCTCCCCTTTGGGGAAAAGCCCTCGGGGCCCACCCAGTGCCAGGGCCTCGGGTTATCGGGATTGGTTGGTAGTGGCTGCCCAGCGGCCCCACTGGGAGGACTGGGGAGTGATCAGCCCTCCTGGCGGGGGCTCCAGACATCATGGTGGTGTTGTTTGGGGTCCACCGCACCACCCCAGTGTGAGGGCCCGCGGGGACCTGTGCCGTGCTTTGCCTCGGAAGACCTGTGGTCCCTGGAGAATGACCGTGGAGAAAGCCAGGGACAGCCGAGGGGACGGTGGGCCCCGGCCGCACCCGCTGGATGAAGGAGCAGAGGACCGGGACCCCATCCGCGCCCCGGCCTGTCGACCAGGCCCAAGGGAGAGCTCCTCGGGACTTTTACCTGCTCCGTGCTCGCCAGCCACCTGGGGCAATGGTCCTTCCCAGCGGCCTGCTGGAGGGGAGGGTCCACCGACGGGCTCTGCCAGGCCCTTTCCCTCCCTGGCCACAGCTTCCCCCTGCCCCTGAGGGGGCCGGGCCTGGGGACCTTGGGGACCTCGGGCCAGGCAGAACCCAGGTCTCTATGCCCTGGGAGTGTGGAACGTGGGTGCTCGGAGCCACGGAGCTGGCTCCTTCTCAACAAGTCGGTGCCCCAGCCCAGAATGCTTCTTGACCTCCCTGCCCAGGCCAAGTCAAGGAGAGCCTCCAGCCTCCCGGTCCTCAGCACCCCCATCTGCTTCCGCGGCGTGGGCTCCTGCCCCACCCGAAGGAGAGACAGGGGCCGTTAGTGGCCTCTGTCCAGCGTTTGTCTCAGGTCCAGAGTGTCACTTGCCAGCAAGTTGGAGAAGGGGTTTCGGAAACCACCGAGCCCATCCCCCTGGAGCCTGGAACCCAGAGAGGGCAGATGACGTTCCCAAAGCCACACAGCGAGGTGGCCAACTGCCCACCCTCCGCAGAGCACCGTGCCCTGCACAGGGCCAAGTCCAGGGAGAGACGGCGTGAAAGTCCCCCCATCCCCGCCGGCCTGGAAGCCGGCTCCCCTGAATCCGCCCCTTCCTCCTCCACCAAACCCCACTTCCTTGCAGCTCAAGCACCTGCAGCTCCTCAGGACCTGCGCCAGCCACACCTGTGTCCCCCCAGGTCTCTGCCCTGGACGAGGCGGCAGTGCACCCTGGAGTTTGGAGCCCTCGAGACCCCACCTCACCAGCCGCCTGCCTGCCCCTCCCCACCCGTCTGCCACCCCTCCCCCGCAGGCCTCCATCCGCACCCCCCCACCGGCCTCAGGCAAGCAGAGTCCCCTCTGCAGCCCCATTGGCTAATTGGCGCCCCAGCTCCTGCCTGCGGGCTGAAGACAGGTGCTGAGCCGGCCTCACACTTGGTTTTCATTAAAGCTCCAGACACCGCTGGCTACAGGCCAGGCCCAGCTCACGCGGGATCCAGCCCTCCCTGGGGTCCAAAAACAGCCACCGGCCAGCGGGAGAGGCTTGCTGTGCAAAGGACAGCTCCAGGCACCCGAGGCTGGAGGCTGCAGGGCCTCGCGCACCGTGCTCCGAGGGTCCGGACCCCTCCCCACGGGCCCCGCTCCCGTTACATAAGGCTCCAAGGGGGCTGGGGGATGCTCGGGGACTCTGGGCTGCATACTGTGCCCAGGGAGGGCCTCGGCGGAGAGCGGACGGCTGGAGGTGACCTACCTGGCGCGGGTCAGCAGGTTGTCCTCCTGGAGAAGGGCTGAGCGGCTGCGGGCGGGCGGGCGGCGCCAGGTGCGTGGTACAGGGGGGCGGCTGTGGGCTCTGCCTCTCCCCTTCCTCCTCCTCCCCCTGGCCCAGCCCTCCTCCACTTCAAAGTGCACCCACAAGAGGGGGTTCCCAGGGAGGCGGCAGCCCAGTGGCGGCTCTGTGGCGCGTAGCCTTTATAACTGTCAGGCAGACGGGGAGGAACTCACACTTCCCACCAGGCTGCTGCCCCGCCCGCCGGAGGCCTGGCGCACACTTAACCCGCTCCGTGCCTCTGGAGCCCAGCCAGGCCGGCCCAGCTGCCTGCTGACGGCTGCCACGGCCGGGAGCAGCGAGCAGGGAGGCCGCCTTCCCCGGTCCAGGGCCCGGGGTCGCGTGGCCGGGTGTCCAGACGGCGCAGCCACTATCCTGGGGACACGGGGAGGCCCAGCCTCGGCCGACGATTCCTGCCTCAGAGGGGCCCGGTCTCTGGCACCTCCGAGGACAGAGTCTAGGATGCCAGAGGCACTCACGGTGAGAGCTCCATTACACGGATGGGAAGCCTGAGGTCCAGAGGGGACCCCTGCTCCAAGGTCACCCAGCCAGGCCCCAAAATGTTCCCCTGAGAAGCAGAGGCCTAAGCAGGTGTGAGGCCTGAGGGAGCCCAGCGAGGGCTCGGTCAAGGGCTCCGGGAAAGAGACAGAAATGCCCACCGCCGGCCGACCAGACGGCCGGAGCGGCCAGGGCCAGCGGGGGAAGGTGCAGGCAACTGTGCAGATGTTCAGCACCAGCTTGGCAGGGCACAGCGGCCTGGCTGGGCCCAGGCCAGCTGGGCAGCCCCTGGCAGGCCGGGCTCCGGGCTGCAGGCCTGCGCGCCTGCTGAGTCAGAGCGTGCAGCCAGGACGGCATGGTCGCTGTGTGCTCCGGCCCCCGGCAGCCCGGGCAGACCCCAGGCTTTGCAGGCCCGCACCGGAGCAAGGCCGGGGACCCCCATTTGCATGCCCTGCTGGAGCACAGAGGCACCTCCCATGGCGGGGCAGCGCTGGGTGAGACCACCTGAGCCATCTCGTCCACACTCCCGCCTCTGCGCCACAGACGCCGCCAGCTCACGGCAGCACCTGGGACACCCGCCTCCTCCCCTCCGTCCCCACCGCCGGAGGGGACCGCGCGGAGCTCCTCCAGCGGCCTTCTCGGCCCTGACGGTCACTCCGCCCCTGGGACAGCTCTCCCCTGCGCCTGGCCGCCGCCAGGGCTGGTCAGAGGGAGAGTGACCGGTAATGACAGTACGAACAACGGCGCCCGGCGCCGATGTCCTCCTGGGCGCCCGGAGCTGCGGGGTCAGCATCCGCGCTGTCCCCGTTTGGCAGTCAAAGCAACTGAGCCTCCAAGACTGAGCTCTACGCGGGGTCACCCACCCGGCACGGGCACGTCGGGCACCACTGGGACCCCGGCGCCCCGACCGATGGCCTCCTCTCCGTCTGCAGGGCGGCTGCACTGCTTTCCTCCTCCCGGAAGCTCCCGGCAGGTTCATTCATCTCGTCCGCCAGGGCCCCCGGGACTTGAACCAGGTCCACACTGCCCCCTGGGGTCGCCGAGCTGCAGCGCAGACTGGGGAGGACGGCACCTGGCAGGCCGTGTGCACGCGCACTCCACAACTCACACACACACATGCTCCACACACACACACACACACACTCCACACACACACACACATGCTCCACACACACACACTCCGCACACACACACTCCGCACACACACGCTCCACACACACGCTCCACACACACACACTCCACACACGCTCCACACACACACACTCCACACACGCTCCACACACACACACTCCACACACGCTCCACACACACACACTCCACACACGCTCCACACACACACACTCCACACACGCTCCACACACACACACTCCACACACGCTCCACACACACACACTCCACACACGCTCCACACACACACACTCCACACACGCTCCACACACACACACTCCACACACGCTCCACACACACACACTCCACACACGCTCCACACACACACACTCCACACACGCTCCACACACACACACTCCACACACGCTCCACACACACACACTCCACACACGCTCCACACACACACACTCCACACACGCTCCACACACACACACTCCACACACGCTCCACACACACACACTCCACACACGCTCCACACACACACACTCCACACACGCTCCACACACACACACTCCACACACGCTCCACACACACACACTCCACACACGCTCCACACACACACACTCCACACACGCTCCACACACACACACTCCACACACGCTCCACACACACACACTCCACACACGCTCCACACACACACACTCCACACACGCTCCACACACACACACTCCACACACGCTCCACACACACACACTCCACACACGCTCCACACACACACACTCCACACACGCTCCACACACACACACTCCACACACGCTCCACACACACACACTCCACACACGCTCCACACACACACACTCCACACACGCTCCACACACACACACTCCACACACACACACACTCCACACACACACTCCACACACACACTCCAAACACACACACTCTGCACACACACACTCCACACACACACACACTCCACACACACGCTCCACACACATGCACTAAACACACATACTAAACACACACACACTCCACACACACACTCCATACACACTCCACACACACACACTAAGCACACATACTAAACACACACACTCCACACACACACTCTATACACAAACACTCCACACACACACTCCACACATACACACACACTCCACACACACTCCACACACAAACACACATGCTCCACACACACACTAAACACACATACTAAACATACACACTCCACACACGCACACACACTCCACAACACACACTCTACACACACTCCACACACACTCCACACACACACACTCCACACACACATACTCCACACACACACGCTCCACACACACACACTCCACACACACATACTCCACACACACTACACAGGCCACACACACACTCCACACATACTCCACACACACTCCACACACACACACTCCACATACACACACTGCACACACGCACTCTGCACACACGCCACACACACACACTCTCTCCTCCCTCCCTCACAGACCCTTCACTCCGACCCTGGAGGCCTCTGCAGGCCTGCGCGCCTGCTGAGTCAGAGCGTGCAGCCAGGACGGCATGGTCGCTGCGTGCTCCGG